CTCGAGTAGACCTGAGCACAGGGTTGGGTCCTAACGATTGCTGTGCTGCAGCTCGCCCAGAGGCTCAAAGAGCTCGTGGTTGGGAGCGGGACCGTGCACTGCTCTCCTTGTCTTGACGAAGTGCCTGTGGCCTTGCTGGAAGGCCTCTGATTAGAGAAATTTTAGTCTGGAAGGCATCTCAGTGTGGGGTGACACTGATAGGGGCTGGACAGACAAGACAATCTCGACAGAAATAGTCTGCCCCCACCTTGGTACGTGGGTCAATGGAGCTGAGGCTTAGTGAGTTAACGGTAAACGCTTGCTTGCAGTTTTGTGCGAATCTCAGCCAACACATTTCTGGACTTTGACCCGCAAGCTTAGAACCGCGTTGGTCTCGCTTCTGGCTGAGCATTAGCTGCTCCTTGCGGCGCTAATGACAGCCTCTCATTTTTTATTTTCTTTTCCAACAAAACATAATGCAGTTTTGCAGTCTTAACTGTGTCCGTGACAAGAGTAAAATGTTCAAAAGAACGGTGGTCACCGTGTGCCCCTCACGGCAGTGACATGTCCAGCTGCTTTGCCTGAGGAAGGCAAACCATCAGCTGCCGCGCTGGCATGTGGGCCAGGTGCTGTAGGAGGGGGTCTTTGGAAAACAGCCACAACTGATTGTCAGGTGGGAGAATTTCTGTTTAACAGTTAGATCAGATTAGAAAAGATTAAACCCCTTGGTGCAAAAAAAGGGAAACAAGACTGAAGCTGTAAATGTAACTATGAGTGTCTTTAGGGAAGAGAAACCGAATGCTTCTGCTTTTCCTGCTCTTGTAAGAGCAAAGGATGCTTAATTTTTCTGATGAGTATTCAAAACAAGTGTACTTACACTTGGTGCCACATTTTCTTCCAGGACTTTTGCAAGCCAGCAAAATATCGATTCTTTCCAAGTCTTCATTTGCTCTCCCAGGGAGTCACGGAAAGAATCTACCCTTCATTATCCCTCTCCTCCTGATTTCTGGGTGATAATCTCTGTAAAAGCCGCTAAATAATTTTTACACAAATCCCATTTTTAGTTGCACCGTTGTTCTCTATGGAATACTTATGAAATAGAGACTGTTGCACTTCTTGTGTTACAGAACGCAAGAATCTCTTCCAGTGAACGGGACACTCCCTCTAGGACCGAGTGTCTTTGGCTGCCTTTCATCTTTGTAATGTTCTTAATCAGCTGGTAAGATCTCCTTGAAGTGTGCAGGACACTTCGCACCTCTGAGAATACCAAGGTTTTTTGGAAAGCAGTTCTCACTTATGCAAACTCTGTGCTGCCCCATCGGTTTTGCCTGGTACAGCTGCTTCTGAAGCCATGTGGGGAACCAGCAAAAAAATGGGTATTTTTAATGCAGATAGGTTTCCTGATCCTGTTTGTTCTGTGGCAGGGCAGCTGGGGCAAGAAAGGATGTTGCTTCATCAAACTTTGCTAACAGTACTCTGAAATCCAGGCAGGTGCAGGAAGTAGTGGGAAGAATTTGCTGTGTGTTTCTGGCTATCAACCAAGGTAGCTGTATGCCTCATGGTCAGGTGCTGCTTGCAAGGAGCCACAGAAAGTAGCAGAGTGCATCTGAAAGCCAGGAGCACCTTCCCTGTGCTTGGAGAACTCTGATGTCCCCCCAGAAGGAGCGGGCAGATGCTGCAGGGAATGGAAACGGATGTTATTTACTTCCTGTCTTAGAGTTACTGTGACTGCGCTTAACGAAAATGTCCAGATCTCAGGCACAGGCCACTTCTTTGGTTTCACCTGACGATCCTGTTATGTGTCTGCACTCCAAACAAATATGATCACGGTTGCACACAGTGTTAACAACGTGAGAGGAATGCTTTTGTTCCAATGCTGTTACGGCTACCCAAAAAGAAGCTTCCCTGCTTCAGGCCTGTATAAAATATACAGTTGCCGAAACAGTTGCATGCTCTTATAGGAAATGTTTCCCTTGCGTTTAAAATTCAGGTTTGGGTCTGATTTTGGTAGAAAGGTGGGTGGGGAATTAATACAGAGGTAAGGTTGCCTGGCAGTATCTTCTGGAAAACAAACTTCTGAAGAAAAAAAAAAAACGCAAATACCTGAAAGTCACGTCATTCCTTCCACCTCATTCTCTACCTTGTCCCAAGCAGCCTTAATGATGTTCTTTCACACTGCTGTTGAAGAGTGCCCTGTTTTCTGAACCTTTTTCGGTAGCTTTTACTCCTACCTATGCTGCATTTAATCACTTGTCCCTGTAAGAGTGTTGCACCTGTTCTTCAGAGCAGTCTTTCCCCTTGCTACAGTAGTCTCTGTACAATTTACCATGTTTAGCTCTAGCTTTACTGATGATGGTTGTTCAGTTGAGAAGGTCTGAGAGCCCCATTTGTAGCGCAGCCATGACGGATAGCAGAGCAGGTCTCTCCAGTGCACATGCAGGCTTCCCAGGGAACAGGCACAGAGGCTGAGAGAGGGACTCATCCTTCTGTGTCCCCAGTGGGATGCTGGGCTTCCCGCTCGCCTCATGTCCCAGGTTCCTGCCATGCTGCTTGGACTCATTCCCTAGCGTTGTGATGCCTCTCCGGGGAAGCACAGTTAGTGTGCTGAGAGGTGAAATCTGTTGGTTTGTCTCAGCTCCTGGGGAGGTGCTTCTCATTATTTCTGATCTTCCAGGCATTTGATATTTACCAAATCCCGTTTTCTGGACTTAGCAGCAGTGCCACGGAGCTATTCTGGTAACACCAAGTCAAAGTTCTTGTTTCCCTCTATATTTGCTTTTACAAAGGAAACAAAAAGACAGCTGAAGCAGAATGCAAGACATCTCTTAATTGCGTGCATTCATTTTAAAACAACCCCACAACCAAATCTGTACATTGGAATATCTCAAAGTTTCAGAATGGTTTGGTATTGGGAATTGTACACAAAAGCATCTCTTTTCAAACTGCTCACAGGCTGTTCCTGTGATGTGTGTTATTCCCATGCTCTCTGCGAAGGGAAGCAGATTGTGGAGTGGAGCTCTTGGCTGTTTGCAGTGCCAGTGATGAGTGAAGTTTGGGTTGTGTCAATCAGGCGCATGCTTCTCTTGCCTGCACGCAATCTCACGTACTCCCGTGTAAAGTATGTTGTGTTAGCGTTTTCCTGTCTTTGCACTTAGCACCCTCATGTCCACAATGTTTAAAGAAGATTAGCTTGGGTTCTTGTTCTTTAAATTTGGCATATGTCAAATCTCTTTGGAGCTGGACAGCCAAAATAGTTGTGTATG